TTATTAAAGAGGGCCCCTGAATGTCAGTTAACCTACTGGGCTAAACTAGAAGGGTTACCCTCTTTGAAGATGGTTGAAATAAAAAATTGAAAAAAAAGATATACCCACTCTGACCCAAGACCCTTGTTACGCGCCTGGTGTTAGCGCCAACGTGTGCCCTTGTGCGGACAGGAGATGTGCCCCCCTCGAAGCTGGAAACCTTGTTTTTGCAAAATAAATTGATGCAATTTGCTGTTATAGGCCTAATCAATAAATTCCTCATCAACCGATATAACCTTAAACATTCTTGAAACTGATATAACATTACTGATGTCGTACACACCATTCAGTGTGAAATGTGGCTCTCTTTGCAAGCACATCTAACATCTAAGGAAAGAAGAGCTTAGATTGGTACCAGATAAAATAATTTTGTTATCAACATTAATTCATTATGCTAATTTTCATCTTTTTAAGCGCATAAGACAGTGCAAATTATGTCTGTGACAGTCTTTTGAAGTGTGTAAAGCTCCGTTTTATCCCATACATAGTCAAAATATTGGGGGGATGATTCAATGGACCATCCCCCCCTTGTCAAATATTGGGGGGGATATATCCCCTCCATCCCCCCCGGGATCTACGCCTATGATCATGTGAATTATTGTTCAATGTCATTCGAGACCCTTTACAACACAAAACTGTAAATAAGTATAAGACCGAACCCACATACGCCAACGATCATTTTTTATTAACGAAGGCACAATATTGTTTGTTGAAACGTATGCGAATGTATGCTGCGCAGTAGATTGCTTCCGAAGGCGTGGTGGTATCACCACTAAGGTTGATCACCTAGTAATATTATACAGGCTAATTTGTAATCGTCGCATTTCCGTAACAATGTAGCACGTTGTGTTGAATTCCAGGGTCGCAATAACGACAGGCTTAATTAATCGGTAAAAAACAAAAACACACACTTTTTTCGCGTACGTTTAAAAAACAAGCTCAACTACATTGACCGTGATTTCGTAGAGTAGGGGACGACTAGGGACTAGGGGAGCGAGTATTTATTTTGGGGATCACCTTCACCCGCCCACCTCTAGATACACCACGTTAACCTATATTAAACAAGCTTAACTACTTGACCGTGATTTTTTTTTGTGGGGTAGGGGATGACTAGGGGGAGCGAGTATATTTTTGTGCCGGGTTTCCCCATTACCCGCGCGCACCCCTAGATACGCCACTGTTGTTAGTCTATATTAAACCACAGATCTATTAAACAATACAAAAATTCCATTGAATGATGGATTTGAAACATATTGTAACTTAGTTAACTAGGCCCTTTGTAATTTTTTTAAATATCATTTTGTTGAAACAGTCAGTGATTTGACCGGGGAGAGGTGGGATTGCAGGTCTCCCCCTGTTGGCACCCCTTAGATCGGGGATTGCTGGAATTGGACCGCCAGATTTGGCCGGTCTGTTTTTGTAGAGGTGTCTGGTTGGAGTCAGGGGTGGCGCCAGGACCTGCCCGACGGAGGGCTAAAGGCCCCGACGGGGGGGGGGGGCTAGTGGAGCGAATCGAGTCTCACTTGGCTGGGGGCCGGGGGCCGCCTAGGGCCCCCGGTGGGGTCCAGGGGCGAATCCCCCTGGAAGCCACAGATATTTGATGAATTATGGCGAATTTTTATTACTTACGGTATTTGATAGAAATCGAGTTAGGCCTACTATATTTTCTCTATGCTATAATATGACTTCATGTAGGCTATGCTTTCTAATGTTGACATCAGATTCCAAAACCAAAACATTTTTTAATAAAGCAAGAAACAAAGAGTATGCAATGTAACCATCTAATTTATTTTCAAATCCTCATTCTTGAAAGTGAAATTCTATATTTTGGAAATTTTGCATGAAATCTGTCAACCACGTAGTCATGGTCGAGGTTGCTTCACCTATCACGATGTATTCCAACCATCACGAGGCTATCTAAATGAGCATTTGTCATAACAGAACGCAAATTATTTTTAATTAATTAAAATTAATTTGAATTATTATTATTATTGTTATTATTATTATTATTATTATTATTATTATTATTATTATTATTATTATTATTATTATTATTGTTATTGTGTATTGTGGTTGTTGTGATGAAAAGTTAACACAAACGATATGGTGGCTAAACGAATATTACATGTAAATATTTTTTTTTATTTGTTTGTTCCATGTCTCTTATACACATCTGGTTAGGGGTGGAGAGTGCCCGCTTTTCCCTGGTCTTCATCATAGGCTGTATAATTATACTTTTTTCTCCTAGTGTAACTTTTCCTTTTCTTGTGTGTATAGTAAATTGTTTAGTAACTGTATGTAAAAGCAAGCCACTGCGGCTTCCGTTGTAAATTAAAATGATGATACTTCTGGACATGAAAATTAACAAAACAAATAGAATAGCGCCACCACTGGTTAAACAACGCCTAACTAAAGATGGCAGCGCCCATGGACCTAGCAACAGCCGCTGCTACTGGCGATAAAATTGTACACAAAAGTTTTTTTTCAATCTCTATATCTATATACCATGTAATTTGAGTACGAACCATGGATATGGAGCTTCACAAGTGAATGATAGGCTAGTTTTGGCTTAGCCAGGGCCTAAAATATATTAATAGTTGGTAGGCTACGGTACGCCTACTCTCTAGGCCAGCCTACTAGTACTACTACTACTACTAGGCTAGGGCGGCTAGGGCCTAGGCCCTAGTAGTAGGCCAGGGTATTATTTACAGTATTGGCTAGGCCTAGAGCCTTAAATATATACCCTAGCCTACTAAATAGAATCTAAACTATAGGCGTAGGTAGCCCACACCCCTGATCTGGTAGTACTACTTTATAAACATATATTTCCATGGTGGAGGTGAAATAACTACTTTTTATGTGGTAGGGCCTAGCTAGGCCTACTACTACTAGCCTAGGCCCTAGTCATGTCTAGTTACTAGTAGTAGTAGTAGTGTAGCTTAGTAGTAGTAGGACTACTCTACTTAGCTAGACTAGGCCTAGAGTCACTGTGGTCTTTATTACAATGCAAGTAAATAGTGCTAATGGCTAGGCCTCTTCTTATTAGAATAAATACAAATGGAGATAATTAAGTTTAAATCATCGATGTAAAAGAATGTTTTATTGGTCTGTATTAATTATTATGTTATGCATTCTCCCATAGGCCTATATACTGTACTATTATTTATTAATAAAAAATAATTAATTTAACCAACATGAATACTGATTTAGTACAACAAGGAAATCACATTATATTCAGATTTTTTAAAGTTATATTAAAAAGAAATATATTTTCATTCGACAGCTTGTTCAAAATCTAATTGAAAGAGGAGCCAACATTAATGGTCAATCCAAAGACGGATTTTCACCCTTGTGCAACGCTGCCTTCTGGGGCTATAGTGATATTGTTGAGTGTTTATTGTTGAATGGGTAAGATGTGCCTAAGGGGTTAAATGGTTTTACTGGGTTATTTATGTTTCTAGTTTTAGGTTTAACTCGCAAAAGAAGACTGTGAGGTACTGGGGTGGGTCCAGATATTTGCAGAAGGAAGTGCAGAAAGAAGGGAACTCTTGCATAAATAACATAAGTTTAAATGACCTTGGGAACCGTCTACTGTCTTGTCACCCTGCCATCTTTCGAGAGACTTAAAGCCAACAATAATAGTAGCCTGAAAATTATTCTCATAATTAACCCCCAACGTAAATGTAGAAAAGCTGCTGACTATTTACTGAACATCTGTATATTTTTTTGCCGGGTAAAATTTAAAAGCACTCTAACATGTTATGGGTGGTAGGAAATGACCATTGCCCCCTATGAATCCGCCCAGGTGTATCACTTAAATAATCATTCTGTGAAGCCTAGTACCAAATGCTGCAAGTGTCGCCATATGCAACAGAATATTCTGAAGCATAATATTGAATACCTGTACTGCTACGTCTTTAACTGTAATTATAGAAAGACCTTTGTAAATGAAAGTCAAATTACCTTTTAAATAAAGAACATGAGCCAATAATAGTTTTGTTTATATATTAAAGCATGCAAGATAGGCATTCTAGTAAAGAATATGGTAAAAAATTGATTATACGATACATACTCAAATGATGTGATGGAGACATTGTTCATCACATATTGACTTATTTTACTGATTAACATGATGAGTTTATAATATTTTTATTCTATTATTTAGTGAACATATACAGTGAATTGTATCAGCCGAAATCACTGAAGTAGAATGTTCCACTTACCTATACTCTGCTGCTCCTTTCACTGTACTACACTAACAATTTGAATATTGAATTCTCACATGGGTTGCTTTTGTAGGATGACGACAAGTCCTCGTCCAATATTTTGTAGACTCGTGTTGTAAAAATGTTTGTTTTTTTTTAATATGCCAATAATGGTAATTTTAGGATAAAATATATAAATAAAATATAAATAAATAAATAAATACAATATAGGTAAATTTTTTGTTAAAATTTTGAATAGGGCAAATGTGAACCAGTGCAATGGTGGAACGAGGTGGACGGCTTGCCACTGCGCTGCATTCCAAGACCACGGTCGAGTGATTATGAAACTGTTGCCTTTTAAACCAGACCTCACTCTGAAGGATAGCAAAGGAAGGTACAGTACATTACACCTGTACATTATACCATACTAATAATTTACATGACCATGTGGAACTTGCTGCATTTTGTATGTTTTTTTTTTTTTGTGTGGCTTCTCTATTCCATTTTAAAAATTACATAATGAAATGGGTATGTATAAGCATGATTATATCCCATCCTCCAGTTGACCACAAAGGCATCGTGATTTCTTTTTAACGTGTCTGACGTCACAATTTTGATAAAGCACTATTACTGCACATGGCCAAACTAGTCAGAGATCTATATGATACGCCCTCTTCTGTGCATTAATTTCAGCTTGCTGGATCTCAAATGAGAAACTTTTATACTTTGTGGTCAAGTGGTTATGTCGTTCTCCATGTATGCAAATGGTCCCGATGGAGGCCAAGTTTTTTTCTTTTTTTGTCAGAAGCCTCTTCTGTTACAATTCAATA